AAAATGCTTTCAGAGCAAACCTTGCACTGGTAACGTTGAAGCGCATTTTTGGACAGTTTGACGGACGAACTTTCCATACAATCTTCAATAGTTTCATCCGTCCCCATTTAGAGTACGGAAACATAGTACTCCCTCCCTCACTCCAAAAGGAAAAGGTCACTTTGGAGCGTATCCAACGTCGAGCCACGAAATCAGTTCGAGGACTCAAATCTAAGCCTTACGAAGAACGTCACCATTCACTAGACCTTTACCCACTAGAGTATAGGCGTCTTAGAGGTGATTTATTAATGGCTTATAGTATTCTTAACACTTCTGGACATCCTCTCAAACACCTACTTAAGCTTAGTTCGAACACTAACCTAAGGAGTAACACCCAGAAACTGGAAACACAACATAGCAAGACGGAATGTAGACACACCTTCTACTCCTTAAGAGTTGTCAAAAGCTGGAACTCGCTGCCGGCCGAGCTAGTCCAAGCGACTTCTCAGGAGTCCTTCAAGAGGCAACTTGACCTATTCTTAAGGACCAAGGACAGCATCACATTATGATTTACCAATTTCTTTTCCTCTTTTACTGTTAACATACCTAGGTTCCTGCCTGGAGGATTTGGTGATCCCCTGCTACTAGACACGGAAGCCTGTTAAGCGAAAGCTTCTTCTATTGATCGTTTATTACGTATCAAAACTACTGTTTTCACTTTAATTGAATTCATTTCAGTCAAAGTATTCGACTAGAGTATCGTTTTTACTGTTCTCTCAATTAGTTTTGTCGTTGGTACTCTTGAGTACCTCTTTTTCAACTGTATCTGTTAGTACTTTTGATCCTAGCAATCTACAGCTCTTCACTTTTTTGGTCATTGATTATTTTTTTGTTTCTGAGTATCATCGCATCTTGAAAAAGAACCCCTCCTAAATGACTGGACAGTGTAAAAAAAGCAGTTGCCAACGTCCAGGTTGTCGTTATCCTGTTGAAAGCGGCATGCAGTGCGACGAGTGCAAAAGCTGATACCACGAACTTAACGCGTGCTGCTTTCAAACAGTTCAGTAAGAAAGGTTGTGTATTGCTTTGTCAACAGTGCTGCTCGGATGCAAACACCTTGTTAACCGAGACCATCTCACTGGTTGATGCTGCAAATAAGTGTTTTAGCAAGCATAGTCGAAACGCGTCAAACAGCACTCGATCTGTCGACACGCAAATCAACGTGAAAGAAACTAAGGTTAGTCCGATGATAGATGACTCACGTTAGTCAAAGAAGGAAAAGCAGTCTCCAAAGGGACCTGCCTTGAACAAAAGCTCAAGAAAAGTAAGGTCTTCTGTTCCTCGTCTCCCAGATGGGATCCATTAGGAAACATCTAGAAGCCGCAATCCGGAGGCTCGATCGGTTTGAAGCGGTAAACATAAGCCGACCTATCAGGTCGTCGACAACCCCCAAAATCCAACACTTGGTTTGACGTTACTGTTATTGCTTCTACCAGCACCGTTGACGAATGGGTACAGGTTGTAAGGAAGAAAAGTAGGGATATAAAAGGGAACCCTGCCCCCGTAAAAGTGGTCGAAAAATCGAAAGCTGATCACAGCGACAGACCAGCTATTTTTCATAGAATCAAGGAGAGCGAGAGCTCTGAACCTAAAGCTCGTTTTCAGCATGACATTGTACTGATTAGGCAGCTGCCTAATCAACTCATACCTCAAAATATGAGCGGGGTCACCTTGCTAAAGGTGTACAGACTAGGTAGCCTAACGAAATTGAAGCCTAATCAGTCACGACTACTTAAAGTATTATTCAAATCTTCGAATGAACGCGACTTAATTTTACAGAATGGACATAAATAAAAGGGTTCAGGAGTTTTTATCCGCAAGGACTTGCCGTTGGCAGACCACGTAAAAAGACGGGAAGCCGAGAAAGAACTGCAACTTAGGTTAGACGCTGGCGAAAAGGACCTGAAAGTTGTAAATTTTCGGGTTGTAAAAGAATGATGCCGAAGCCACTCTGGGTGAAGCACGAAGGCACTTAAAGAGGCTTCGGATCTGTTACACCAATGCACGAAGCTTACTTAATAAGCGATCGGAACTAGGTGTGCAGATTGACTCTACAAAGCCAGACATAATCGCAGTAACAGAAACCTGGCTGACACAGGCTATAGATAGTATGGAACTTGATTTCGAGGGTTTCACGTTAGTAAGGGCCGACAGAACACAAAAGTGCAAAGGAGGGGGAGTAGCTCTATTCATTAGGAATGCTATCATATTTGCCATTACCGACAGTGTATCCCATGAGAGTGGGACTTGTGAATTAGTTAGTCTTCGTTTGAAATGCAAGGGACAAGAGCTGCTGATTGGTTTGGTCTATCGCAGTCCAAGCTATGAGGCAAATGAGATCCTGTTAGGCATTCTCAATACTTGGTCTCAAAGTGGTCGATGTCTAATCCTAGGGGACTTCAATGCACCTATGGTAGACTGGGAAAATCTGCGAACTAGATCGTCGGAGAATTCTTTCGAGCAGGAACTAGTTGATGGGGTTATCACATGTGCTCTAGTGCAACACGTGAAAGAAGCGACAAGGTACGATCCGGACACTGAATCATCCTTATTAGATCTTATACTGACTCACTATGAGGATGATGATGCGAACCTCCATCATATGCCACCCCTAGATAAAAGGGATCACGCAGTTTTAACTTTCGACTTCCATATAACTGCCAGTCACGAGCACGCGTCAGTCCAGTCAAGATCCAATGTCTGAAAAGCAAACATACCAGACATCATGCACTCAGCATCGTTAATAGATTGGACAATAGACCCAGAGTCCTCCATTGAAACGGCCTGGGACACATTTCGAAATTCATACTTAAAAGTTACCACACCTCACATCCCTTAGACTATACTAAAGGGGCCGAAAAACTCCCCACCATGGTTCAGTAGGGAGGTCTGTATCCTTCTCCGTAAGAAAAGGAAAATGTGGGATAGATTTAGGTTACTGGGGACTGATGAGTCAAAATCTCAGTATCGAAAGGCTCGGAATACTTGTGCCTCGACTCTCCGTAGGTCTAGAAAATTGTACGAAGGAAAACTTGTTAAGGAATCCATAGAATGTCCTAAGCGCTTGTATTCCTATATAAACCAAAGGACAAGGAGAAAAGGAAATATTCCTGCTCTATGAGGAGACAGTACTGCTTCATCATTAGTGGAGGACGACTTTGGTAAGGCTCAAGTGTTCTCGAACTACTTTAGCAACGTCTATACCATAGAAGCGCCCTTCCCATCAGCGTATACAGATCCCCCCATACTTACACTGGATAGCGTGACCATTAAAGAACTCGATGTCTTTGGTCTGCTAAATAAGCTTGACATAGGTAAATCCACGGGGCCCGATGAATTACATCCTGGGCTACTGAATGAATAATCTAACTTCGTTGCAAGCCCTTTAAGTACATGCTTTAACCTATGCGTTACGCAGGGTCGTTTACCGAAAGACTGGAAAAATGCCATAGTAAGTACTGTCTTCAAAACAGGTACGAAACACAAACCTGAGAACTACCGCTTCGTTAGCCTAACTAGTGTGGTTGTTAAAATATTAGAAAAGATTATTCGGAAGGAGCTGTTTAAGTATCTCGATAAAAACCGGATCTTCTCGGAGAAGCAGCACGGTTTCAGAATAGGTTATTCTTGTCTCACTAACTTATTAGTGGCTCGTGAAAGCTGGTGCGCTCTTAAGGACCAAAAGCTACCTGTAGACGTCGCCTTCATTGATTTCAGTAAAGCTTTTGACAAATTTCCGCACAACCGGCTGTTATATAAGTTAAGAAAAGTCGAGATTGGAGGCAATTTATTGATGTGGATAAAAGACTTCTTAGTTGGGCGTCAACAAAGAGTAAGGGTGAACTCAAAGTTATCTAGCTGGGAAACTGTGCTTAGTGGAGTGCCCCAGGGTACAGTTTTGGGGCCAGTGCTATTTCCAAGTGTGTTGTGATGCATATCGGTCATCAAGGCACAGATACATACACGATGAATAACACTGAGCTACCTGTCGTCCAGACATATAATGACTTGGGAGTTATCGTTAGTCGAGACTTAAAGACTACTGCACACTGCCGTGCAATAGCCGCCAAAGGTTTTAGAACCTTATGGTCAATACGTAGAGCTCTCAGTCATGTCGACGCTAAAACGTTCTTGACTTTGTACACAGTGTTCGTTCGTCCTAAACTTGAGTACTGCATACAAGCGGCTAGCCCCTGTTTAAAAAAAAGACAGTGAGCTTCTGGAAAAGGTTCAGAGAACGGCGACTAAGCTGGTTCCCGCAATAGCGAAGCTTCCGTATGAATCTCGACTGGCCAAGCTGAACCTTTTCCCGTTGTCATATCGCAGAACTAGAGGCGACTTGATTACAGTCTACAAATTGCTTAGTGATAAATTTGCACCTAACATGCCCTCATTTTTCTTTTCTTCCAAAACAGAGAATTTACAAGGACACTCCAAAAAAGTTCATAAGCCGAGAACAAATTACTTGTCAGCTGACTATCGATTTTCCCATCGAATCATGAACGAGTGGAATTCACTACCTCAGCACGTGGTTGAGGCTCCATCCGTCGACTCTTTCAAAAGAAAGTTGGATCAACTGAGAGACCACCATTGCCAGGACTAACATAGGCCATCGAACCTCCTGTCCTTCCCAAACTGAAACTGAAACTGAACCATTTAAACCCAGCTCCTTCAGACAGGCCGTGTCCAGTGAAACTAACGAAGTCAGCATTAATGTTGAAGACTTATACAACCACTTATTTTACGGATTTATTCACTAAATCTTATAAACAGGAAAAGAAATGAGACCGTTACTGATCAGGTTTATGAGGGATCGATATTTGATAATGATCTTCCTTAATTCCTCCAAATGCGACATTGTGTTTATTGACATAGATTTAAGCTGTTAACGGGGATGTATGGTAAATCATCGATTTGTCAGTTAAACTTAGAAGGTGAAGTTAATTGTTTGAATATGATAGGTAAAATACGTATATTCTGGTGGTTTATTGTTTGCATGGCTCAGAGGATAATACGTAACAAACGACCAATTCAAAGGTGACGTTACACAACGATGGTAGTTAAAATTACCAAGGAGGATGAAAGACTCTTGGAAGAATACAGTCAAGCAGCTTCTAAAAGTTCTGAGAAGCTAGTTTACGTTAACGCAATTATGATATCTTCGATTCCTATCTGTATGTTGTTAAAATATAAACCTAACTTAACTAGGGTTATTTTGGGGCGTTCACAAAATGCCTCTGATAGCTAATTCATTCTTGTATGTAATCATTTCACTGGCCTCAACCTTCCTCATATCTATCGCATACAAAAATTCAAAAACGCCTTTGATGGAAAAGTGATTATTTGTCGTATCATACATTGTCTTTAGGATTGCTATCCGTCGAACCGAAGCAATTACCAAAGAAGTCAATAACGAAGCTGGTAAAGACAAAAAGTTGTCGAAGAAGAACAGAGAGGATGTGTAAGTGTGACTTTTAATTAATTTTCTCAGTGTCCGTGAACGAACTAAAAAGGTTGCTGATTACGAATCTACGACTTTCTCAATATTTTACAATAATTGTCTATTTCTCCTAGTCTTACTGTTACTTTCTGCCGTCCTTCATCATTTCTCGAATCAAGTGTATCCTTTTAAAGTGTTGCCAGAATCGTTCACATAGTGGACAATACCTCATGCGTCATTTAGTATTTTTCTAGTTCATTTTCTACTGTGTTGCTTTTTTCTGGGAAATTGATTGATAGAAACCATTGACTTAGAGGAATGTCTATAATGCTTAGTCGTTAATGACCGTGTTCTCTTTTTGAACTCATCTAACACAATAACTGCGGTCACTATCCTAACGGATGTTGAGTGTCGATATGTGAATGTGGACTGTTCATAAACGACTCATAAGGCAAGGCATGGGTTTTATTGCTTTGCCTTTTCTAACAGTACCATATGGTAGAATCCTGTTTTTCAGTTGCCTAATGTCCTGCTTGTATTCGGTTTCAGCTGTATTGTCGGATGGTTTGCTTATGAATGAGCTTTTTTACCTCTTACCTTCTCTGTAAACATAAAGCACTTTAATTTTACCTCGACTGTTTTAGTTATAAACAGGTACGTGTTTATCGTTCATAATCGTCGTGCTCAGATGAATTATTAGGTTGTCCAACATCTGATCAATCCCACTAGTCATTTCACATGAAAAGTTTTAGCTTGCTAACAATTTTACAATTATTTGACAACATACTCTGTTTTTGACCGCAGTAAGTCTAAAGGTGTTTACTTAACGGAATATACTATGATACTTAACGTTCGTTTAAAACGTGAAAGACCACTAGCTTGTTTTTCTTTGCTTTTTCATCTCAACCTTCATTTGGGGTAGTTGTAAAATGAAACCCAGTTTCAAAGTTTGCTTGGTGTTTCATAATATCAATCACAAGGCAATCCCATTACCAAAGTAATTTACGTATGACGAGATGTAGTTTTAATGTTTTCCATTTCCTTAACTAATAAATTAGGAATTACTCTGTATCGATGTTACTCGCTGCCGGCGCAACTGCTTTCTTGTCATCCGGGAAAGGATCATTTTGATTCCATTAGTAATATACGCTTTTCGAAATGCTTGCCTTCTAAAGTCGATTGTGAAAGTAATTTGATCAATGTTAGTAAAAGTTTTATTAATGTTGTGTATATGTAAATTATCAAGATTTCATTGCATTAGAATTATGTGGTTTGTTGCGTTCTAAAACTCACGTCGTTTGCAAAACGTACGTAGATTTTTCGAAAAGAAACGGTTTGGTATGCATACATCCCAGTGATCTGCGTTTTTCGCAAATCCACCACATAGGTCTTTACATATATTTTTAGAAAAAAAGAAACTACAACACAATAAATCTCATAATTCTAAAAGCAGAAGTGAATCAGAAGTGAGGCCTAAAAACGAAATCAGTATATGGTAATACAGAGAGTTAAATCAGGACAGAGGAAGCGATGGTCTCATGTCATCTGACCTGTATACGTGAATCAGTTTTTTTGGCAGATCTCAACTTAGAAACACACCTCTCACCTCTTAGACCGATAACCAATAACTTTATAGATCCCATATCTAGGTTCGGAACATACCTCTTAGTTCAATAACAATGAGTAATCACGTTGAAAATTGTAGTTGAATCTCACAGTAATGATCCGGAGTCATTGCGATATATGCTACTTTCACGTAGTTTTTTTGCTTATGCAGTGTAGTTCCTAATCTTTTATTAATATGACTTGCAACACTGCTTCAGTATTCACCCTAATGATTTGAAATATTTAAATTGATGTAATATGGAAACTTGGTCCAAAGCCCTTGTACTAAGTTCTACTTTGCTTATAACCACACAGGTTTAGACAAAATAATGAGGTATGCTGAAGACTATCTGAGGTCCGAAAACCTAAAGACTCCATAGTTTGTTATAAAAGTTCCATTCTTTTAAAAGTATGCAAACAATGGCCTACAGATGTGCTTCTATGTGAAGATCCTTTTAGTGTATGGGATCACTCCTAACGCTAACTTACTTGGGGTTGTAGAGGCGTAATTTTTGTCTTCTAGTAAATACTAAGGCTCGGTTTTCCGACCCGTTTGTAAATTTGGTAAGATCATTTGTGTAAACGACTATTCACAAGCTACCTTCCCTGTGCTCTAATTTTTCATCTTGAAATATCAAGGTTCTGGGTCATCAATTGACAGTATTAGATTATTTAAGAGGGGAAACGAGCAACGAGATAAAGTAGACGGTCTTCGTAGCAATGCACAGTGTGTACTTTTGTAGATGCACCCCTTTTTAACACAGAATGTAGTAACTTTGAATTTTCGAATCGCAGTGCAGTGGTCTCAGATGCCATATTTTGCGACAGGTTACTAAAGGAAATGTCAGGTAATACATGAATAACATAAAAAGTATTCTGGATTCCAAAAGTAACGAAGAATGAATACGACTACACTAGTGTGTATGGTTTGTACACATTCACACTTTTCGACTGATGGTCTTTAGAATTCTTTTAATTTTAAACTGGAGTCCAAAACAGTCCAGACTAATAATTTGATTTTTTCAAAACATTACGCGAATTTACTACAGAATTTGGGGGAATCTGTTTTGTTTATGGAGACTTATAGGGCTTATTGTATAGGTGTAATGAATATCGGAAGTTAATCTCATTTAACTTTTTCTGTTAATTATTGGATTAAATGATGAGAGTACTCTCTTGATACGTGGATGTATGACAGACTCTTCTATTAAACGTGCAGTCAACGTATGTGAATTCATTCTGAAACCTTTGGCGCCACATGTTATACAAGATAGTTTCCGTCTGACTACTTTATAATTCAATGTAGGTTAAAGCATTAAAAGCCAGTTTTATGTTAGGTAAACTGTATTATAAAACTTATTTGAAGTGTTGGAGTAAAAATATACATGTAAACGCTTGAAGAACTTTTAAAGATGTTTCCTGGAAAACTGACGAACGCTCATGAAAGGTTGATCCACATTCCTGTAATATCAAAATAATTAGCAAAAAGTAAAATATCCGTTATGATATTTGTTTGCAGTCCTGTATATCTCGCTTCAGCCCAAACTTGTGAAATTCATTCTCAGCGTAGACCAGAGTTAAAACCTACTTAAGTGGATTGCCTAGTGTCTAATTTCCTACAATCTGCGTAAACCATTGCTTAAAATGTAATATTCATAAGTTGAGTAGTGTTTCACAAGCAACATCGTCTTGACTTGGAACAGTGGTGAGATATTTGTTCACAAATATTTGAGGTTAGTAACACAAATCTACGGAACCCAGTATGAAGGGGTTTATTTCCCCACTAGTTTAGCAGATTCAGTGTTAGCTCAAGTTTAATAAAACCAACCACTCATATTTAATTGAACCCTTATTACGGGAGAGTACTCGTTCGTCGATTTTACTAAACAAAGTTCCATCTAAACACTCCCATGGTTAAGGGCTTTTTGATTTCACTTATAAAACTAAATAAGTAACTTAAGGGAATACTTTCAGCCCTATACTATAAATCTATCAAAATAACTTAATGTAACTTACGTTTTGAAAATCAGGTTGGTTGCATTCTTTGAATAGCCAATTCATCGGCCTCTTCATTTTCTTCCATCGTATAGATATCTTTATCAAGTCGCCTTAAATTGACCAAACAAACGCGAACTTCTAGTCGGTAATCTTTGACATCATAAACTGGATTATCTACAGATGGTCAATACACACCACGTAATTATCAGATTGAAGGATAAATTAGCCACTAGGCATAACTTTCGAAAATATTATCACAGTAATTTATACGACTACTTAGTGTGGATGCTTATCAATTTTTAATTAGTCGGTCAAAATAACAATAATTAAGCAGAGGATACGTTAGTAGATGTACAGTTTAACATTAAACTTATCGTTAGTACGTGCAAATAAGGAAAATACTGGTTTAGAGGAGCGTAATGGATGGTGGACAAACAAAATTAAAGAAATTGGTAACATATTCTACGAAAAAAAAGAGAATGCTGGGTCGGAGTCTAGTAGCTTAACTTAAGCCAGTCAAACTTTTTAGTAGACACTTCCTCCAATTTACGGTTCACTCATATGACTTTTCAACACGAAGTAACTTTATTAATCAATATCACAGACTGATCCTACCAACACCAACCACATACGTTTTATGTTTGGAAATCTTTAGTTCCAAAACTTCTAAATTAGATAAGTTCTTAATTTCGAGGTAGAAACATCTTTGGTGATCGAAATAATACTATTAGCGATATGTGAAAATCATGCTAAACTAAACAAATAAGGTGTCGACAAGTCGTAGATGTAGTGTTATTGTTCCCAGCATAGACTCTGTAGCTTCGATCAAAAACAGTAGATTTCTTATGACTTCTGAAATAATAGCGAACATTGAACTAAGATCAGCTAGTGTCAAGCAAAATATAGGAAGTAAAGATATTTCGTCTTCATATTTACAATGTGAGTTCTTAAGATGCTTAAGTTTTAGGGACAAACTAGTAAACTTTTTTATTTCAGCGACAAGATTTAGGACTATCTCTGGAACTCTGATATCGTATTGTTACGATATAAGATAACATGAACTCATGACAATGAACATTTAATAATGAGATGTTTGATTTAATTTTGAATGTAGTTTCTAACTTGCGCAATTCGGGAAATGCTTGACCATTAGTTTATAATGATTATTAAAGGGAGGTATTATGTGTAAATATTTGATAAAGTTACCTGTTAAAATCACTGTACGTAAACACTGGAGGTTGGATAGTTTCTTTATTTCTTCTAAACTGCCGATTTGATTTTCCCTATGAAGTAAATAAAACAGTCTCGTTACACTGACATGAGTAGTGTTTTCATGAACAGATATTCATTATATTTGAGATAGTGATTTCAAATTTCATTGCATAAATTCTGTCTCAAGAAGTGAAAACGTTTCTTAGTTGACCAAAAAACGTTTGGACAGTTCGCAAGCTTGTCTGGTTACCTAAACAAGTACATTTCTTTTGGTTAACACAACTGCCCAAATCAGAAAGTAAGGATTGGATCTTTGTAAAATCAGTAACAGTTGTGTTTTACAAAATTTATCTTATCCGTTCTTCATTATCATTGTATTTTAATGACATGAGGCCTTACATAGTGGATTGTTTAGGAATTAAAAAAAACTATTGATATTAACATTAAACCAAATTTGGCTAACATATTTGATATAGTCGTATACAACCTTTGTAATACTGGCTCATTCCCGACCGAAGCTGCTACCTTGACGCGGTGGTCGGGCTTGCCTATCGTGATGACCCAACCGAGCTATATTGGCTGGAACATATGTTCCTGTAGGTTCTACCATGTCAGGCAGGTCGATTGGAGAACGGTAAGACTAAAAGCAGCAACTCAAGGTCTGGGGGCGAAGTCGTACTGCTGACTGTAGAGGGGTGTGACAACAGCAAGGTGCTTCCCTCGGACAACCAGCATCTGCAGCGATGCTGCCTTCCCACAAGGAGGGGTGGGGTTAGAAAAGGTCAACCCTAAAAATGTCACACCTCACCTTGCCTCACGGATTTCCATCTCCGGCGGTAAAGCCCTTTGAAGAAAGGAGCTAACACATTAGAAACCTTCTACGAAAAGGGCGTGCGCGACCGGCCTCAGGCAGTTGTCCCTTGGGCTCTGCGGTCACACTCCCAGGTCGTTAACACCAACACTAATCCGACTTCTTCTTCAGGTTCCTCAAGAAATACCCTTCCACGGTGTGAGCAGCCGGGAAATGATATCAGCCCTCATACCCGTAACAGCGCACGAAACCAAGTTGGTCACATTCAAATCCTTCCTACACCTCCTAATACCTCTCTTATCTCCATGACTAACCCTCCTCACGTTTCTTTATCACCTCGCACCGCTAAAGCAAACGATTCGAGTACGCGAAACGCTATTCCTGGTCTCCTGAAACCACGCTTTAAACTACACGTAGGAGCTTTTAACGTACGAACACTGTGCCAAATAGGACAGCAGGCTTCCTTAGCTAGGACTTTAGAATCCCACGCCATCGATGTGTGCTGCGTCTCCGAAACGCGCATACAAGATCCGAGTAGCGTCATTCATTTAACCTCACCATGCCAAAATAAAGAACCGACGCGATTCACACTTCGTGTATCTGGAAGCCCAGATTCTGCTTCCCGTGGCCTCACAGG